CTGCTGAGTGTAGAAAGAGAAGAAACTGAAAAATCTGACTTTGAGCACATCATAGACCAATTTGCATCAGTGAAAGCAAGAAAGGTGTAGTTGTAATTTTCATGTTGTGCCATAATTTGTTAATTAAAAGATTAACAAGCTTGACTTGTATTTTTGAGCTGATATTATGGTAAAGTTATCTAAAAGATGGGTGTCAGATGTTTGGACATGGGCTCAATTTCAGTGCTTGCCATAGGCGCTATTTTCTGTAGATACGCCCCTGAATATAATATATAATATTACTGTAGAGTAGCCAGCGATACTACGAAACCAGTTAAATAAAAAAAAAAGTTAAAAAAGAAAGTATATGTTTTTTTTATATGTTTATGTGTGTGCAATTTTCAGATTAAATATTTTATAGTGAAACCCACAGTATGCACAAAATAGTTGAGCAGTGTAGATTTATTGGTAAAATTTCTAGATTACTGATAATGTCACTATTTTTTTCTGAGAAACTCTACAAACATGTGATTAGACATATCGATATCTAGCAGTGTTGTATTTAAATTCCTCAAATGTGTATTTTTGTGACTATTTTTATTGTACGTAAATGAGGTACAAATGGTTGGTCCAAGACATTATCCGTCTTCTTGGTATAATTGTATGAAACGACAGAAGACAAAAATATGTGATACTCAGAATCATGCCACAGAGAACAATTATGTTTATTTATTATACGTCAAAAAAAAAACAACGTAAAATGTAGCTTTTTTATCTTTTTATCTGTAGGAAAAATACCCCGGCTGATTCTAATGGCGATGAGAAAGAATAAAAATCGTTACTAGTTATATAAATTACTTAATACAATTAAGTTACTCGAAACAGTATACTTACTGGCTTATTATTCAAAGGTACATAAGAGACAACGTCGGTACACTAAGGTTTATCATAGAAGACGGGCACGTGGAGATGTTGTCACAGTAACATTAAGGTCTGAATATTACCCGGAACTAGTATACAGTTATTATATCAAAGACTAGCAACTCACCTAAGTAACTACTCAGCAATATAACCCACATGTATACAAAATCACATTATTAATTATCCAGCAATATAACCCACATGTATACAAAATCGCATTATTAATTACTCAGCAATATAACCCACATGTGTAAATACCCTCATCTAATAATAACAATATTAATCAATCAGCAATATAATCCACATGCGTAACTATCTTCATGTATACAAAAATCACATTATTAATTACTCATCAGTATAACTCACATGGGTAAATGTCCTCATCTAATAAAAATCACATTATTAATTACTCAGCAATATAACCCACATGTATACAAATCACATTATTAGTTACTTATCAGTATAACCCACATGGGTAAATACCGTCATCTAATAATAACAATATTAATCAGTCAGCAATATAATCCACATGCGTAACTATCTTCATGTATACAAAAATCACATTATTAATTACTCATAAATATAACCCACATGGATAAATGTCCTCATCTAATAAAAATCACATTATTAATCACTCAACAATATAACCCACATGGATAACTATCTTCATGTATACAAAATCACATTATTAATTACTTATAAATATAACCCAAATGGGTAAATATCGTCATCTAATAAAAAACACGGTATTAATCAGAAACCTAACGGTAAATAATAGTACAGAAATAACGTAGATGAAACGACTCCTTAATATAAAATTGTGTAAGTAGAACGAAAAATTTGCAAGTGTAATTAAAGTAAACAAAACAATAAGAGTAACTAAACTATACAAAATAGTAAGGATAATTAAAGTATACAAAATAGTAAGGATAATTAAAGTATACAAAATAATAAGGGTAATTAAAGTATACGAAACAAGCGTAATTAAAGTATACAAAACATCAAAGTTAATTAAAGTATACAAAACGTCAGACTTAATTAAAGTGCACAAAAAACAATGGTAATTAAAGTATACAAAATAATAAAGATAATAAAATAATAAGGGTAATTAAAGTAAACAAAACAAGTGTAATTAAAGTACTCAGAACAACAAGGTAACTAAAGTAAACAAAACAAGTGCAAATAAAGCATAGAAAACATCAAAGCTAATTAAAGTATACAAAATAACATGGGTAATTAAAGTAAACAGAACAAGTATAATTATAGTATACAAAACATCAAAGTTAATTAAAGTATGCAAAATAGTAAGGATAATTAAAGTATACAAAATAATAAGGGTACTTAAAGTATACAAAACAACAAGGTAATTAAAGTACACAAAACAACAAGGGGAATTAAAGTACACAAAACAACAAGGGTAATTAAAGTATACGAAACATCAAAGTTAATTAAAGTATGCAAAATAACAAGGGTAATTCAAGTATACAAAACAAGTGTAATTAAAGTATACAGAAGAACAAGGGTAAGTAAAGTATACAGAAAAACAAGGGTAGGTAAAGTACACAAAAAAAACAAGGGTAATTAATTAAAGTATAAATAACAACAAGGGTAAATAAAGTACACAAAACAACCAGAGCAATTATCGTATACAGAACAACAAGGGTAATTAATTCAAGTACATAAAACAACAAAGTAATTAATTCAAGTACATAAAACAACAAAGTAATTAATTCAAGTACATAAAACAACAAAGTAATTAATTCAAGTACATAAAACAACAAAGTAATTAATTCACGTACATAAAACAATAAAGGTAATTAAGTATGTATTTCAGTGAGCAGCTATAGTGTTGCGCACAGTTCACGGGTAACTTAGTTACCATTATAAAAGATAACTCCAGTACAAGCATTAATAACAACAAACATAACTCCTTTATGTTCATTAACAGCAAAAAAACTTAACTCAACTATGCTCATTAAGAACGACAAACAAAAAAGTCCATTATACTCAATAATAACAACAAACATAACTTTATACTCATTAAACAACGACAGACATAACTGCACTATAGTCAATAAGAACAACAACAAACAAACATGTAAAGCACTAAATGTTTAAGAGAACACTAACCTTTCATTTATCATAAGGATGTACATAATCACAGTAGAGTTATTTTGAATTATAATACATAATCGCCTAAAAATCACTGGAATTACGTTACAGGTACACAAATCATGCAAATCAAAGGTTAACTCTACTATTTTCATTAACTTAAAAGGTGTAAGTCACCCAAGAAATGTTTCAGAGAACACTAACTCCAATTTTAAATCTTGAGACATAAAACGTGGTATAGTACATGGTGCCATAAATTATTTATTAGGTTTTCAAGCGATATGCACCACGAGCTTGGTTAAACCTGTAAATCTGTAACTTTGCGAGGAGGTAGGTGAAGAAGCAGGATTTAACAGTGTGACAGAACGCAAGCTTCAAAGGCTTTGCCACTGCAGATTTCCCGCTAGTTTTGGAATATTTTGGTGACATCAGCAGTTGTAGCAGACAAATCACACGAGACATTTTCAAGTCAGTTGAACAGTTCTTGGACTCGACTCCCTGTATTTGAGAAAGGCTCGCAGCACAAAAGTCACTGCCTCAAGGCATATCAGTTGGAATAGTTAATACTCAGAGTCAGAGGTAAAATTATCCTTAAAGAGGTACAGGTACCTTTGTCAGGACCTGGAATATAAAATGTGATTCGAATTAAAGGCATCTCTTGATGAACTATTCAAATTGACGGCCATAAAATAATAAAATAATGGGACTCAGTACCGATTTCCTGTAATAAAAATACAATAAATAAATAAAGCGCTAATTACTTCTAATATCCCCCCCCCCCAAAAAAAAAGTCGGTAGAGAGTTCTAGTAAAAATCGATAGAATTTCACCCCTAAAAATTAGACTTAGAAATAAAGCAGTGACTTGACTAATCTAATTTTAAGTAAGATATATATTTCATTTTTAACAGTAATCATAATGTCAATCTAAGTAATAATCTGACCAAAGAATAAAACAGTTAACATCTATTAGCTATTGAAGTGGATTCAATTAAATAAACATTTCTTCTAGTTAAACAACCATATTATTTCATCCATAGCCAATAAATGATTTCTATTCTGATGTCTGTATGCGACAGTTTGGGATAACACTAGAAACTCTTCATATTCCGACACTTTTTTAACTGGCCACTCTAGTGGAACTAGAAATAGTTTTGGCAGTAAACTCACTAGTTTAAAAGCTGGTGATTTTTATACTAGGAAGAAGTGGGTGGTCTGCGCCATTGTCAACTAGGTCTTCGGGTTCGTGGAAGTCCATGTCGTCATTATTTCTTCTATTTAAGCAGTTTACACCTACTAGACCATGTTTGTTCTCTGTAACTATGCTGAGCCTTAACCGTCGGGAGCTGGCACTGGGACTAACCTCTCGAGACGGGCTCGCAGAGGGGGGATAGCTTGGAAAGCCCGCGGTGGTGTGTTGATGGCCCACGGGAAGGCTAGAATAAAAACTTTTCATTATTATATTATTTTGTAGCAGGAGTCAACGTCTAATTCAAAACTCTTTCATGTAAATAGGATATGACAGCAGCTACACAAGAGATAAAATATAACGCAGGTTAAAATCGGCCTGAAATGTCGAAAAGTATTAAAAAAACACTGATTTTACTGACATTGTTAGGCTTATGTTAGAGAAACTAGCATAGCCAACTTTTCCACTAATAAGATCCTCATTTAAACAAATAGTTGAAATGCACATTACGGATATTGGTCATCACTTTAATTGATCTCCATTCTTACGAGCCTCCATCTTCCAGTGGTTCAGCGGTAAATCGTAAGGTTTATAACCCTAAAAGCCAAGTTTCGATACTCGTAGTGGGCACAGCACAGATAGCCCATTGTATAACTTTGTGTTTAACAACAAATAAACAAACAAACCATTCTTACGAAAATATTAAATAAACAAACAATGACATCATATTTCATCAGATCATATAGTTGCTTAATATTATATGTATAGTATTTTTCTTGTCCTTCACTGACCACAACGAACCTGTATTTATATAGATTTCGAAGAACATCTAGCATCAACGCTGTTAATCTAGAGTTCGATTCACTACTTGTTGCTGAGTTACACCGGTTTCGGGGACTTTCACCCCTCATCAGTAACCTTGGACAAAGATAAGAGTAGACTTCTTATAGTAGTGGAGTGCATCTTACATGTCTGGCAATGTTTGTTGTCTTGAGAAATGTGTTTTGAAAGTTATTTAGATATAAAGAAACATTAATGCTTTCTTTTTATTATTTAGAATTATTAACATGTATTTTATTATCTTAAACGGCTTGTTTGCTGATGAAGAGTAGTATCCTTCGAAACCATTATAACAGACAAGATGTGAATGTAATGATAGATTGGGTTTCATGTATATTCTTGGTTATTGTATTTGCTTCACCAAGCCCAATTGTATATTTTGTAAAAAAAAAAGTTACTATTTTTACTGTCCTTTCTTAAGCTTTTCAAATATACCAGTAGACAAACTTGGATGTTTATAATATACAGTTTCATTTCCCGCGCTTTCAAATATTATATTGACAAAATGTGTAATACGGGAAACGTTAACTACTTAAAGTAAGAGAGACATCACCGACAAGCTCTGAAGTTTATCAACAACTCTTATGTCTATATTACCAAATTTGTTTAGTGCGAGTAACGTTATTTGTATATATGTCTCTATATTTACATGCTGAGTTTAAATTATACACATTCATAAACTAACAGTGACTAATCTTATATCAATGCTTAATAATATGATTTAGGCCTAGACCAAATCTACGAAGCAGGCCGAAAACCTTGAGAAGTTATTGGGTTTCTGACTGAAAGCACTGTTAACGGAGAACTGAATATTTAATGTAAATATATTCATAAGTGTTATCTAATTACGTAGACATGTTCATTTCAAGTTTTATTTAATTATTCAGTTAATTTTTTCCCATTTTTGACACATACTGTGTGTGAATGTATATTTAGGTAGACCGTTAACGTATAGTATGTATACAAATAGAAACGCACGTTGATGTTATCGTATGAGTGTTTGTGTATGCTTTGATGTACAGTTCAGTCTTTAACAAATTTGCATCCAAATGCAAAACTTCATAGTTTCTGTGATCAAGTCAGCAATATATATATAATAGTATTATATATATTATTTCATTTAGCACTCCCTAGTAGCAAATTAATGAAACTTCTTAAACAAATGCTAGTATATAATTAATACAATGTGTGACTGAAAATTTTAATCAAATAACGTATTTGCACTATAAGAGAGATCCAACGCTTGTATGTGCGGTTAAACGCATAGCTAAATGGTTTTTAGTGTTATAAGCTCTCATACTTGCTATAGGGGGCAGATGTGCAGTGAGTAGATAATTTTCAAAGCTCCTGGTGTCATGTTCATGAAATCAATGCTACCGTACAGTATCCTTGTTCCGGGTACAAAATCGTCGAATCAATTTTAAGAAACGTTTATCTTAATATTATAATTTTCTCTTGGTGATACCTTACCTTTTTTTATGGTTAACACTTTGTAAAAAGTTCCATTAAAAAAACTCGTGACCAGAGAAAGAATATATACTTGTTAACACAGATGCCGAGAGCGTCAGATACAGAAAATGATTATATTAACACAGATGCTGAGAGTGTCAGATAATGGAAATGAGTATGTTAACACAGATGCCGAGAGCATCAGATAAAGGAAATGAGTATGTTAACACAGATGCCAAGAGCATCAGATAAAGGAAATGAGTATTTGCTCTCGGCATCTGTATTAACTCAGATAAAGGAAATGATTATATTAATACAGATGCCGAGAGCATCAGATAAAGGAAATGAGTATGTTAACACAGATGCCGAGAGCATCAGATAAAGGAAATGATTATATTAACACAGATGCTGAGAGTGTCAGATAAAGGAAATGAGTATGTTAACACAGATGCCGAGAGCATCAGATAAAGGAAATGATTATATTAACACAGATGCTGAGAGTGTCAGATAAAGGAAATGAGTATGTTAACACAGATGCCGAGAGCATTAGACAAAGGAATTGATTATATTAACACAGATGCTGAGAGTGTCAGATAAAGGAAAT